CTCATCTGACCCACCAGCTGGGCAGGTCAACCACCTCTTTGGGGCACAGCCTGCCCACCCACCCATTCCACGCCCAAGGCTCAGGAAGGCGGGACTGTGTGAATCCACCCACTTCGGAGCAGCTTCCCGGACTGCACTGGGCACCATTTCAACTCCAGGGCTGTGCTTTGCAGAGACGTGCGCAGTTTGTTCTGGGAGCCCTGCTTGGCTTCCCAGCCTTTCAGCCCCTCCTGCTCCCTCATAAATCTTGCTTTCGTTCCCACCAATTGACTCACTTATTTCCACACCATTCCTCCTTCCGAGGAGCAGAGGACAGTGTCCGGGCTTCCCTCCCTTTCCACTTCACCCTCACAACGGTCCTGTGAGGTAGAGCTGGCTGACAGAGAGGCTTGAGGTCACATGATCAGCTACCTGCCTCTGCCAGAATTTGAACCTGAGCCTCTGATGTTTTAGTTCCGACACTCTAATCACTGCACCGCACTCGATACAACAAGCAAGAAGCCTCTCCTCCCTGTCCTGTGTCACCTTCAGCCAAATCGAGCTTTCACTTCCCTCACTAAAGCTGCACCAACCATCCACATTCTCCTGCTTGTTTCCTCCCGGATGCCCAGAAGTTAGATCCTTTTGCAATATCCCATAATGTCAGAGTAGCTCAGCCAATCAGGGTGGGACTCTCACGAGGCAGGCGTGCAGCTGCCTTTAAAGTAAACTAAGAAAAGGTAGATGTAACAAAAACCCTCGTTCACCGGAAGGGATCGGAAGAGGAGGCAAAGAAAACATTGTGACCCCCAAAGGATCACCAGGAAGGTACTAACGGGCTAAGTTCCCACTCCAAGAGCATCCAAAGAGAGCGTCCCTCTCCCAGGCGGGAGCCGAAGGCTCGGAGCAAGAGAGGAACCCAGGAGGGCCGATCGATCATCAGACCAGCCCCGTCCATCTGGGGGCAACACACGAGCCCAAGACTCCGTCCACCCTCCTCTTCTGGCTTGCCTCCAGCACCCCATAGTTCAACCATATTTGGAAAGGAAGCTCGCAAGCACCCTCGACAGAGACCCGACGGAGAGACAGGCCCAACGAAGAAGCGCTCCGCTTTTCCCCTTGGCCGGCCAGCCCAGCCACTTCTCTTTGACAAACCGTTTCCCCATCCGTAACCTTCTGCATTCCCCTGCAGAAAAGATGCCCGACAGCTTCAGCTCCAAACTGGCTCTCCCGGCTGCCATTTCAGGGTCCAAACTACATTAGCTCTCTTTTGGTAAGCTTGGGACTAAACACTCAGTTTTGCCAGCCCCAGGTGTTCTTCTCTATACTATAGGATACGCCTGCACTACAGCGTTATACCAGGGTTGTATTGAATCCTGGGAGGTGTAGTTTGGAGAGGTTCATAGACCTACCTGCTGGAGCCCCAGAGAGGGTTCAAGAACTCTCCAGGCGTGAATCCTAAGCACCTTCCCAAACTGCAAAGCCTGAGACTGCTTGGAAGGGGGCCTAACGTGGTATCAAACTGTTCTAGCACTATGATGCCAAAGGCCCGGGTGGCTTAAGCAGAGGCAGCCCCTCCCGAAGCCCTCCTCCCTGCAGCCCACCAAGCACAATGGGGAAAAGCAAACGGGAGTCATACGCAGCAGGGGAAACCGGCCACCGCCCTCCCTGATGGAAAGAACGCTGTCCAAACAACCCAGAGGCAGCACAGGGGCTGCCACGGCCTGGGCAGAATGTTTGCACAACTGCGAGCCAGTGGAAAAGAAGGGGGAGACCCCCATGCAGAGGTTAATTTTAAAGGAAGGAAAGAAAAGCGTCTGTCTGGTTCTGTAACTCAAATGCCAGGACAGCGGGCAAACACGGAGCGCTCTGTGCACGGGGAGGCTGTGTGGCTCTCTCCCCTTGTCCCCTTCCCCAAATTCCCTGGGGCATTTTCAAAATTTCGGCGGGTGTGAATCTTGCTCTTTTTTTTGGTTCCCTTGGGCCTAAGCACTGCTTGGTACTATATTGCATCCAGGTAGGGTTTTTTTAAAAAAAATCTGTGGAAATTACTTGTCATTTCTGTTGGAAACGTTGCTTGAGTTTAGCTATTTCAAAAGGAAACTGAATATTGACGACCGCTTGTGTGGAATGTAGAGAGGAAGCTGGTAAATTAAGTTAAAATAGCATAGTGTCATTGCTTCGTAAACCTGACCTCACACCTATTACTTCTGCATGATACAGTTAGCTCCGGGGGGGGGGAGGAAAAGCCCTAGCGGTTGGAAAACTTTAAGGCATGGCATGGAAAAGTCTTTCCTTTTTTTTTTGGTCTACAACTTCCAAAATCTCCGTCCGGCATGGCCAACACATTAACGTGCGTATCCTCTGCGTCAGACACTGGGTTGTGCCTTGGACACCTTGATGTATCTAACGGGAAGATTGCTCAGGACTGAACAGTTAAGTCCCACAGCAATGTCACTCCCTTGCTGCTCTGACTCACTGTGCCGGAGAACTGCCGTTGTCCGATTCATTATTGCTTCCCTTTGTAAAGGCCAGGGTTACAGGATGGCGCAAGCCTTATTCCCACCCACCCAACTCAGCCTGGCAAGCGAGACTTTCCGGGACCCAGACCTACTGAAGGAAATCGTAATAAAATGAATTGCAGGGACCCTCCTGTACCCGAGGGGTCTAGCAAACAGAAAAGCACCTCTTGCAAAAATATCTGCTCTAGGTAGCTCTGGCCAGGAGAGGCCGGCCTCTTTTAAAAGTAAGTGGAGCAGCCTCCAGAAAGACGCACATGGTAATGGTTGGAAGGCTGTGTTTTTACCTTGCAATTCTCACACACGGGCAACTTGTTGCCAAAACAACAAAACAAACCACTCACTTTGAGGTGTTGTTTGTTTGTTTGTTTTGCAACCAAGGCGGTGTGCCCTGTTGTGGCAGATTCTGCATCTCCTTTCTTGATCAGCCCTCAAACCAACCAAGAAGCCAACGAAGGGGCAAGGATGGGCTCGTAATGTGACATGGCTTCTGAGTTAGTTCCCAGAGGAGTTTGTGGACGACGAGGGTGTAAGAGCCAGCCCCACCTCTCCCTGCCCCCCCCCACGCTCTTCACTTCCTACATTTAGCCCAAGGAAGGGATTGCTTTCTCAAAACACTTGCACAGTTTTCTGTGTGTGCTTTCGCACATTTCTTGCGCCTTCCTGGTTGGCCTAATCCACGAGGGTGCCGCCACAATAAGGATTTTGGGGCGGGGCGGGGGATTGTGCCCATGCATGGCTGCCCTCCCCACCCCCTTTCCTGGTTTGCCAGAAGAATCTTGGCTGTATAAGCCAATCAAGGACATCTCTGAAATGGTGGGCATAAGCAGCCTCCCGGTCACAGCCTTCAAAAGACGCGGTCTCTTGACAAAAAGTGTAAGTAAGTCCTCACAAGGCGGTGCCACCGTCCCCCTGATGAACAGAGCGCTTGAACCCTGGTGAGCCTTATTAAACATTCTCCCAACAGGCCGGCAAGCTGGAACTTATCTTTTTCATTTCGCATGGCAGGACAAAAGAAGGCCATACATATTTGCCCTATAACTCACGCAAGGCTGGTCACAAGGTGCTAGAAAGGGCTTTAAAACACACACACACAACCACACAATAACAACAATAACAACACGGCAAGCCATTGGGCAGCTGCTGCAGAAAACAAGAACCCAGAGGGCATCTCAAGGCGGCTGCCGAGGCCCGCCAAAGGTTGGGAGAAGTCAGGTGACCCTTACACTCCCAGCACCCACCCCTCGCGCTTGGAGAAACCGGGAAACCTACCCACCTTGGTGAGCCCAGGTTTAGGCAACAGCCAAGAAGCCCAGTTTGGTTTGCTAATCCCCCCATTTAAAAAGGAAGGAAGGAAGAAACCCATCGTGCCTTCTGGTGGTTTGACAAGCTGGTATCAAACTCACCGTAGATCTGGTCACCATCTCTCCCCATCTGGTGCCTTCCAGAAGTGCCAAACGGCAGCTCCCTAAATCCCCGAGCTCAGGTGGCTGGAGGGTTGTGGGCTTTGTAGTCCAACACGTCAGAAAGACAATCCTGCTGGTGAATGCTGGATGTGACGCTCTTGGCTCCAAAAGGAACCGGCTCAGCCAAATGGCAGGGAGTCGGCAATGAGAGCAGCAAGAGCCCTTCCAGACCTCTCCAGAGCTGAGGAAGGCGGTGGGAGGGGGACAAAAAAAAGAAAAGCGGCTGCTAGGTGGATAGGGGGGCATCAGGAGGTCTCCTGGTGCTCCCCACAGGTAAAAGAGCCACAAGAGGCTCCCCCAAATCCTTTGTCATCTCAGAGATGACACCCTTGGGAGGCTCAAACAAGACTCAAAGCAAAATACCTTCATCCCTTTATGGCTTTGGAGGGGGCTTTCAGAGCGCCAAGCCGAGCCGCTGGCCAGGAGAAGAACTCTGTGTGAGGCTGGCCTTCTGCACAGGCTACGCTGTGCCCAACTCTGCCCCTTCCCATAGTTTGCCCATGGGTGACGTACAGCGTGAGCCTCTCTGAGCAGAGGCACCCTGGAAAGGGAGGATCGCCGTATCCGGAAGCAGGCAGGGCATGGCAGCCGTGCCACAGAGCCCGCTCAGCAGACACCGTGGGTGCAAGAATCCTGCCCACGTGAGCGCCAGACGTGGGCACAACAGCTGCTGGACACCTTCCACATCCCTGGCCGGAGGCCATCGGAATCCTCATAATCCCCTCTTAGCCAAATGGCGCCACATATCCCGCCGCAGGCACCATCGACGCAACCCTCCGCATTACTCCGCATTGCACAATCCCGCTGAGTCAGGGAGATGGCAAAAGAGGAAGGGGTCCTGCACAAAGCAAGGGATACAGCAGCCCGGACATCAGACGCCCCCTCTGCATTCCATGCCCATTAAATGAACGTGCACATAGCATCCACAGGAGCACGTCGGGAGGAGTGGATTAAACCTTTCCTTCCCAAGCGCGATTCGGAGGAAAACTCTGTGAGCCCAAAGAAGGCTTTCCCATTCAAGCCAAGGTGATCACACCTTCAGACATGCCATCTCGTGTCCACAGAAGGGCAGGAAGGGGTTAACCCCCTGCCTGCTGGAATCCTGGTAATCAGGAATCAATTCAGTTCTATCTTTCGATCTATCTGTCTCTGTATTTCTAAAAAGCTTGCTCCTTCAAAGCACAGGGGCATTTAACCCTGTCTGGCTTTGCCCCTGGGAGAAACCACAGCTCTCTCTGGGTTGACGTGTCTAAAATCCTCCCTTGGATTTATCTCTCTGTTGCAAAATCCCAGCAAGCGAGCATTCCTCCGAGATCATGACTCAGCCCGGAGCGCTCCCAAAGCCAGAGATTGCAAAACTCAAGAGCAGCCGTGGGTGTGTCCCCTCCCCAGATGTGGTTCTAGCCACAGTTTGGGAGGGTTTCCAGAGAGCCAAAGGACATCTCGCTCTCGCTGTCCAAACTGCCACCAGAAACTGTGGCTGGCAAGCCGGGGCCCCTCGTCCACGGAAGCTGATCCCGCCAATCAACCTGCCCCTGTTTCCAAGGCGCTGAAAAACTTACTGCCCAGGACTGAGTTCGGATGCTGGCTTTGAAGGGCCAGAGCCGAGCACACTTTGCTGCTTCAGCAATCACAGCAAATGCACAGTTAACACAACATAGGAATCAGAGAAGGATCCTGCACATGTATTTGTTTATTTAAAATATTGATACCCTGCTTGTCTACCCAAGAGGGCCCATGCAATGGTAGAAAGCCGGGAGCATTCAAATCTGCCAATCCCCCAAAGGCTAATGGGGAATAAAGGAAGTTGCTTTCTGCCAAGTCTGATGCCTGGTCCCTTCTAGCCCAAGCCCGCCAGCTCTGACTGGCAGCCACGGCTCCTTCTCAGCCCTTCCCAGAGATCCTGTCCGTGACTGAACCTCGGGGCCCTTCTGTATGTAAAGCAGGGGCTCTACCACTGCGCTACAGTCTTTCCTTGTTCCTCACTTCCACAACCCAGGAAAAGAGCCAAAACAAATGGGAAGAGACCAGCTATAGCTTGCCTTGGGGAAGGCACCCACTCGGTCGGAGCAAATGATCCCAAATAACTTTGTTTATTTTTAGACTTGAACAAACGGAGGCTCATCCACTCCTGGAAAAGCAGCCGAGCAATGTAGTCACAAGGAGTGGGGCACACAGGACACCGTCTGTCTGAAGCGAGGATGTAAATGGCTCTCTACCCATGAACTTTGCTCTGCGTACAGTTGGTGTAACAAACCCAGCCCTTGTTGTTTTCCAAAGGAATGCAACCTAACAACAAAACAGAGGGAAGGCGCCTGCCCGCCCGCCCCCCCACCCCCTGCAAAGCCAACCCACAGCTTCAGTCACAGAGGGCCCAAAGAAAGCCCATTCCACCCCCACCCCACCCCTTCCAGTCCGCACCCACAGTCAGACAGGAGAGGATACCTCATCCATGCCTCACTTAACAATGATGATGATGATGCTTAGGTGGTCTCAATGCAAGGAGACTCTCCTATTTGAATAAGGTCCAGATGCCACAAGATTTCCTGCTTCCTGCACTGGAGGAAGTGACCAAGTGGCTTTCTCCACCGTGTTTTTAAAAGCAACAGGCGCCAAATGCCTCTCGCATCAATGTATTCCCAAAGCTTCTTGTATCCTTTCCATCTTTCACAGAGATAACTATGTCTCAGCAACGTCAAAAACAAAACAGGCAAGAGAAAAGGTCTTGGGGTAGCAAGACTCAAAAACGTATTTCAGCGTCAGCTTTCATAGATCACAGTCCACTGACTTTGACTCTTCGAAGTGCGGAGCTAGAAGGGACCCCCCTGAATCATGGAGTCCAGCCCGCGTCAAGGAGACCCAATGGGGGGATCAAACTCCCCATCTTGGGCTCTGCAGCCAGAAACCCAAATGCTCCAGCAGTTTTTTTCTTCTTCCAACCCACTGAGAAGCATATCTGGGTCACAGGTTTACAAAGTCCAAGGTGGCAGGCAAGGCCTCTGTTTTTTGGGAACAAAGGTGGCTTAAAATATTTTGCACAAATAAATAATAAATAGGACCAGGTGTCGGGAAAGGGAGGGTCCAGAGGGGGCCAAGAAAAAGGCAGCTGCATGTTCACACCCAGCAATGTGTTTCCTTTTGGTGACAATGGCACTCCTAGCACAGGTAGGAAACCTTTTGGTGCTTGATCGCATTAACATCATTGCCGCCCAAAGATAGAAATGACACGACAGGCATCGGGACTGGACTGGCTTCCGATTAGAGGCAAGGCTCCACAGGGGCTCAATTCTCATCCTTAGGGGGGGAAAGGGACTTTAAATCTCACCGGTCAGATTGGCCACATGGAAGAGCCCCGTTCCAAAAGAGTAAGTTTTTCCAAATTCTTGTTAAAACTCTTGAGCCCAGATCTAGGATGAGGAGGGGGGGGGAGAAACAAGAGGCATCTTTAACGGTCCTTACAAAGGCAGCAGTGTCTTGAGAGCCGGCCTCCAATTTTGTAGAAATCATTAAAAAGAAACAAATAAACAAAAGAACAAACAAAAAAAATCAGCAAAGCCAAACCGAGGAAAAGGGCAGAGGCTGGGTTGGGGCTGTGACAGAGGGCAGCCTCGGGACGTCTAATGTTAGCTGGTGGTTAAAAACACATCTTGCAGCTGGGAATGAAAGCTGGTTTTATTTTTCAGAAAGGAGTGGGGGGGGAACATAGCTCCACTTCTGAGAGAGAGAATCTGTGTGTGTGTGTGTGTGTGTGTGTGTGTTCAACTTAGCTGACCTTAATTCGAGCACACTTGACCTGGTTTGCATTTCTCTGACGTCAATTCTATCGGTTTTGCTTTCTCCCAGGTCTCAGTTGCTGAAGGGCTTTTTTCCTCTGCACATGCTCTGGGACAGACACGGGTGTTTCCCACTGCTTGTGGCCAGAATCCAGAGGCTGGCCTTAAAAAAAAAAAAACACAAACAGCACAACCGTCTTTGCCCAGCCGTTCAGAAACGGAAGGGCCAGTCCCCGATCCTGGCTCCCTTTCAGAGGGAATGAAAGGATGTTAAGCCCAGGCAAGGCTCTCTTTCCCCCTCGTTTTCCGAAAAGCAAACTCTTGGCAGGATCGCTGTCTTGGAAAGACAGGCCCAGATGGAGGGCCTCGCGGCCCCCTGCCCTGGCAGTCCCTGCTGTGATGACAACCAACGGTGCTAACAAAGAAGAGAAATCTTCAACGGACGGCATTGGTTCCTGAGAGACCTCTTTCCTGGGGCACCTGCACCGATCACGCTACCTATTTCTTGTGACTACGGTGCCCAGAATCCACCAGCTGGCATGGCCAGTGCCCTCTGTCACCCTGTTCATTGGAGAGGTGGGAAGAGCGAAGGCCCCGACAGAAAGGCGGCCACGGCCAGGAGAGGGTTTGGCCTCCACCCATGCCAGCATCTCGGACTGACGCCACGTTACCTGCCACGGCTCCATCCCGAGGCATCCAGCCATTTGTAGTTTGGGAAAGGGCCTTATTTATTCATTTATTCTCCTGTCAAACTACGTAAGATAATTCTGTGGACTTCCACTTCCGGCGGCAAGCGTCGGGAGCAGTTCTGGGTTGCACAGGAGCTAACCAGCACTTCATGGGTCCCTCGAAGAGCACTCCCTCCCCCAAAGCACAGCCCCCGCCAGAGCCCTGCCCCATATCCAGGGGTGCCAGTTTTGCAAACTGTGTTGACCAAAGATTCTCTCCCAGGGCGAGAAACGTTTCTCTGGCAATAAAAAGCAAACGCTTCGCCTCCTTCTAGCAATATTAGCACAACCATGGTGTAAACAGCAAAGCAGGGGGGTGGGAGGGGGGAGAGACTGGTCTGTGGAAGTCAGTTGCACAAGGTCTTGCTCCCGGTGTGGGGGGGGGAGTGATTAAAGCGGGGACTGGCTTAACCGGACACGCTCTCTGCTGGGAAAACTGCCAGTGCGGGGAGAGGCTTCACTGGTGACTTTTTAACAATGCAGGAACCACAGGAAATAAAGGCAAAATGGTGGCTCAGGGCCCCCCTCCGGCCATCCCAGAGCTGTGAGCCATTTGGGGCTGATTCCCCAAACAAGCAGCTACTGGGCAAGGGGGGTGGGTGGTGGGTGGGAGGCGAGCGAGAGGCAGCTTGGCCAGCGGAGAGAACTGGCCCTGGCTTCGCTCACTCCCAGCAGCTGCTTTTCCTTTGCAGCTGTCTAAACAGCTGTTGATCACGAAAGGGACTCGGCCGTGGTCCAGAGGCTCGGACGGACGTTGTTGTGCTTGGTCCCATCCCGTCCCGTCCCTGGTGTGCGCGCTGTGGCTTCTCCTGGCCCTGCAGGACTATTCAACACTGAAGGATCTTCAGAGTTCACTTTGGGCGAGAGGCTGCAAGCCCAGATAGGCCAGCCTTAAAAGCGGAGGGAGGACCTGCAGCCAACTCTTCTTGAACCGTCCAGGAGGGGAAACCACCCTGGCCTGATCTCATTTAAAGGCACCGCTTCTGGACGGCCACGTCTAGAGCTTGTCCTTCCACAGGGGCTCTTGACCCGGCCATCCAGGAGAGCAACTTCTCCAGTCTCCAGTTAGAGTAGAGCCACTGAAGTGACTGCCAGGTGGGAAGGCAACACCCTTGTAAATCCCACTGATTCTACTCCCCTTGAGAGCAGCCACTGGACTGAGAAGCCAATAAGCATCTTTTCCAGCCTCTGCTTCAGCCGGGCAGAGTTAACTTTCCCCACCAAAGGGCCACATTTCTGTATTTAAGTCGTGTTTGCTTTTGTGGACAGAGCAGCTCCAGCCAGGTCTGTTGGAAAGCGAGAGGTCTTTCCACCCCTTGAGCCTTTAACACGAACTAGGGAATAAATCCTTTCACTTGTGCTTAAAACCGCAACTTAATTCAGCAGAAACCTACAATACACGTGTTGTGAAAGAACCTCAGGGGGGAAAAGGGGCCCTAACAGGAGAAGAGGACTTTGGCTGTCTCTTGGGAGTGCTTCACTTAATCCTATTCCCCTCCCAGGACTTTTACTATCTCTCTTTGGAAAGAATCACACAATACAGCAAACTGCCTTGTCAGACCTTCGGGGCCTCCTTCCAAAGGGA